TGTCCGGACACAAACAAGATTAACCAACAATTACAATAATTGGAACTCACACAATTATTTAACACAAACATATGTACAATCAACACATCAAATGTGGTGGATTCTGGCTTGACGAACTTCCCTTGAAGAACTGTAGGACTTACAGCAGTACGCCTACATTCCTTCTCAGGTTGATGATACAAGTGGAAGCCGTACGGACACAAACACAATTACCAACAGCCAGATGACAGATGATACCAATTCAGTATATACAACATTAACATATTTACAAAATCACACACCAAGCACATTGGACTGCTCATTGATGCGCTACCCTTTGAAGAATTGTAGCACTTATAGTAATACGCCTGCAACCCTTCTGAGGTTGACGATTTTAATTTGAAGCGTGTCCGGACACAAACAATACTTATCGACAAATAGATGAGAGATGATACTAATTCAGTATATGACATGAACCTATGTGCAATCAATACATCAAAGGTTGTGGGTTCTGCCTTGACGTACTAACCTTGAATAACTGTAGGACTTACAGCAGTACGCCTACAACCCTTCCAGGTTGACACCCTAGCTTGGAAAATCGTCGTTGAGTTCATTTGCTGACTTCCCTCTATCAGCTATATCCTCAAATCTGAACGGTAAGACGCCCATGTCATTGTATCGTAAAATGTAGATGACGAACAAACACACGACGTATCTGGTCAACCAAGCGTAGGCACAGAGTAATTTACACCAAAGGTAATAGCATTCAAATAGTAACTTGAAACTAGAAATGCCTTTATTCATGCAAGTCAATTTAACAATGATTCTCTCGTTTACACTTGGCTTATCCTCACTAAACTGAGCAATATCTTTCGTCTTTTCAAACGCACCAATACTATCATAGTCATTGCACAAGGTACTTGAGTTGATGGGCGTCCTTCTCATTGTGGATGACAACACCAACGACGACTGATGGACACCAGTTGATGAACTTAGCGGTGCATCAGAAGCTGTTGTTGTTCGGCTTTCAGAAAGTTGTCTAACTGCAAGACTACCACCACTGCTGTCTTTTACTATCAGCTCCGCTTTAGCACTATCATCTGATGATAGGTGGGCTTCACTCCGATCAATTACACTGACGGTTTAACAAGTATCCATACCTTCTGCAACTGCATCTGCATTCAATTCTACTTCACGTTGTAGTTGTACAGAACCTTTATTCAACTTAGCAGTAGTAGGCATTCCCCTCATTTCATCATGATCGACCAAAGACAAATGTGCTCTATCATGACCTTTGTAACAAATATTCTATTTACCGCCGTTTGTATAATTGACTTCAGTATTTTCATCCTCTTTAATAAAAGCAGTAGACAATTTGGGTTCTTCCCCATAAATCCCCAAAGGTTTTATATCTTTACTCTGACTAGTAATACCTTGAAAACTTGTTGAGTCGGAACTTGATGACGCTGATTTCGCATTTATCTCACCACTAAACTTGCTCACTGATGCACAGTTCGCCTTTGTATGCACTTCTTGCAAACATGTAAAACACAACCGTTGGGGGGGGACGTCCAACGAAATCTGTTACACTCACTAAGTTTATATGGATTACTAGATACTATAAAGCTTCCCCGATATCCACTTCTCTGTGGCCTTTTCTTCATCAATGATTGCGTTTTGCTCTCAGACTGCTCGACTTCGTTTTGTTTTCATCCCGTGGTTGCAGGCATACGATCACCAACCAATATTGAGAAAAATTAAATTACTGAGGTGAATCATTAAATTGTAATGAAATAGCCTGCAGCAATCTACGAGTTAATCTGGTGAAGAGAACACTATCAAAGTCGATATTAACAAGGTTTACGAAGAGCATATTAAACCTGGAGAATTTAGAATCTGGGATGAAGTTGAAAAAGCTTTGAAGTTTTTTGAGAAGATAAAACATTAACGATTAAGATACTTACCCTCAAACAGACAAGAAGTTTCGTTTGCAAAACTTCTACCCAACACAATAGGTGGAATAAAATGGGCATAAACCGACAACATGAAAAAGATAGAACTCACCACAACATCACATGGACAGATGTACGCTCGTCGGACATCATATATGCCTCACCAACTACAACCCAACATTCCTGAGATAATGTGATGAACTTATATCCGTAATGTTGCTGAGCAGTCAATATCCACAACTCATGTCGTAACAACTAAAATTCAAAAACCTTCCTCACGAGAAGTAAATACCCACAAGCAGTAGAAATCCATTAATTAATGCATCTAAAGCTTATGTATTTTACTCCCAACAATGACATTACAGATCAAATGAGATAAACATATCACTGATTTCAAAATAACACATCAATGAACTATAATTCAAGGATTCTGCACACAACAAAGTATTGTACGAAAATTGACTTCAAGCTTTATTTTTTTCCCAGGCACTTATAACCCATCCACCAAAGACCTGGTTTTTTTGTTAATGCGAAGACAATACTTCTGTAATTCCTGATGTGTTGCACTCACTGACAATCTAGCGGATTTTTCCAACTATGCACAGAAATGAATGTACATAAGTGAAAAGGATGTTTTATACTATTGGGATTAACATTTATCAAGTTTATGTATAATCTCCAGTGTACATGTTAAACATATTTTGTCATCGATTGTAAAATGTGACTGAATAATATGGTCCTACTTCTGTAACAATTTGATGATGCCTGTAAACTGGCGTCCCTCATGTACTGTATCATGAGAATAAATTTATTTATTTATTTATATATTCTATGGGTGGGAAGCAATATACTGGCAAACTTGCTCATAGACTGATTGACGCTGTCTTTCACCAGTTTCAGGATACCATCGAACTTTGGCTCAATACCTCCTCTATACGAGGGCTTATCTTCACCCATTTCTTTTGCAGCCGAGTGGATAGGCGTCTCGCTATTACCTCTAGGACGAAACTTGATTTCGAATCGCTCACGCAATTTATCGAAATCAACGTATTCTTGTAAGCAATCAGATTATCCAAAAACTCAGAGTGCCTTGTAGTCATCTCGTAATTGACTACCATTAGCTTTAACATCCTCGAATACGTTCCTTGCAATCATCGAAGGTCTTCCAAACCTTTGACGCGGGATACGCATTGCCACAGTATATCCTTCGTTTTGGGGGATGAACTTGCAGCACAGTATAGCTCTTGAAGCAACACCATTGCAGTAACCCAACAGATACATCAACTTCATTTCATCATTTGATAAAAAATCACTCAACATGATGTCATACTCCTTTGCAAACTGTGGGTATTCAGCTCGGTTTCCATCGACACTCCGAGGGTCGGATTTGGATTTTGAAACCTCTACTATCAGTAAACGGCGAAACATGGACATCAATCGTATCATTCTGAGCATCATACACATCATTACATATAACAGGCAACTCATCATTACTTACTTTCCCGTGTGCTTCCTAGACGCTTTGTCCTTTCTTTGACCCAGGCATTATTGAACTTAACCAAAACATCCAGAAAAGTTCCAAATAACACTTATCCATAGAAGACTTGAAGACACGAGGAAAGACGAATGGACAACAAATAAGTCGAATAATTCCAGAATTTTATCAGAAACTGTCAAATGTCCAGGTCTAACTACTCTGGACATCACACTGTCCTTAGAAGACTTTCAGGAACTATGCGCAATGACCAATGCGAAAAACCAGAACACAAATTGGTCACCCTTTATTCCTGCACCAATACAGAGCAAACCGTTAGGTTACTGCATACAAAGTCTAAGAATAAATGTCATAACAATAAATCACAATAACACTTACGATAGCTTTTCTCCGTCCTCCAACGAACACTGAATGTTTGAACGATGACTGCAGTATCGATGACTCCCGCCAAAATATGGAGTTGGTTCTGAGCAAACAACCATGAGTTGATCGTTCATTCTTCAGCTATATTGACACACCCAAAAACAGATTCTCAATGTTTTCACCCACAAATCCACCCCGCCTCCTCTTCAATTACTGACGTCATCTTTGTACAGCCAAATGAACTTTGATGACCTAGGTGTCATTTTTATTAGAGAAGCATTCCAGTGACAGAAGAAATACCTGCACTCACTCTGTCCACAGCTGCACTCAGCTTTTGTAGTCTATTCGCAATACTTAAACGAGTTTCTATGTTGTCTAGGCCTTCTGTTAAGTATTGCCTTCGTTTCAAAGAACTGACCGCACGGAATTACGCAGGTTTTGGACCACTCTCGTTGTTACTACATTTAGCCTAATAGGGGATAGTACTTTTCTCAAAGACTACTCCAGTCGGATGAACAGAGCTGATACTCCAAGAGTGTACTTGTAAGCTAGAAACTGATTTTGTTGGCCAGAAGGCAATATTACTTGGATGGTTGCAGCATTTCTTATTTTTCACATGAGGATATTCCATGATATCTACGCTGAAAATTCCACACTTGTACCAAAAATACGGTGTGGAATCAAGCTGTAACAAAAAAATATCACCTAAATGATCTGTACAGAGTGCATTTTCCAGATAATGCAGCCGACTGACTCCAAACAGGTGCAATTCTCTTTACAAAGCTACAATTATCTATTCATTTTTCCTAGCCGAAAACATCTCCTTTGGTGCGTCGGCGGCACAGTGATTAGGATTTTCTCCGACCATGCACATGGTCCGGGGTTCGGTCACCTGCCAACGCACACCTGATATCACTGGTTGGCCTGAAAAATTTAGGCTACTGATATAACATGCTGAAAATTTCATACTTCTGCCAAAAAGTACGTGAGGAATCAAGGTGTAATCAAAAACTGAAATTCAAAAATTAAAAGAAATGTACTGTATTCAGTCTCTTGACTACTTGTAGTTTGTTTGGGGATGATTCTGCCGAAAGTGGTTTGTTCTGTATCTAGCCAACTGAGTTACAACCTTGAAACTAGGCTATTTGGTTTTTATTTTGCTAAAAGCTTAAAACGTTTGTTTGTCCTCATCAAGGGGTATATGGAACTCTGATTAGCGCGGCATAGTTGATTGCCTTCCAGAATGTAAGTAGTTTTTGGATAGATATCTGCTATATTGGGATGAATATGCGTAAACTGATTACGTTTCCGTTTCTAGGTCAGCTGATGCTGGAGCTGCAGATGTTGCCAATGGTGGGGCCCCCCAACCTCGCCCACAAAATAAACGGCTTCAGCAAACACAAGCTCAGGTAGATGAAGTTGTCGATATCATGCGAGTGAATATGGAGAAAGTGCTGGAACGGGATGCTAAGCTTAGCCAGTTGGATGACAGAGCAGGTCAGTTGTCGCGCTTAATTGCCGCCTTTTTGTATGTGTTATCTCACTCGAAGACAATGGCATCATTGTGATGAATTATCTTAATCTTGTGATATTGTTTACTTAAACAATTTGACGAATCATTTAGCGTGACTCAATCGCTTGGAAGCTTACCTGCTAGCTGCCGACTAATTTTCCATGAAATCTTCGAATTGGGGTTAATGAAGGGATGATTGCAGAAAACTCAGTAGTCTATAAAACAAGATTTCCATTTTAAGCACTTTAATAATCTGGAAGTTCTTACCATATTTCATATACGAGCTCACTTACACATTAGTATCATCTCACATTCACTGACTTAAAACATCCTTGTTCTTCATATATATTTTTCACTATATCTTTGGCATCGTGTACCTTGTGGTGAAGCTAGAGACCCGGCACTTGTACGGATTAAAGGAATTTTTAGTGGGATCTTTTCAGAAAGGTGAATATTCTGAGCATCGTTCCACTTCAATTAGCCAACTGTAAATGCTTAAAAAAAAACTCGGATACATTGGTTTTAGCAAATATATTGTACAATTTTCTTCAAATTCGGTGGCTAGTCTCTTCGATATGTCTCCAGTCAAATGTTATCTTGAAAACAGTTAACTATGCACACAGTAATATATAATATAAGGAAAGATTAAATAAGTCGCTTTTAGCGCTTCAAAATACTCCTTTCCTCAGTGAGTATTTGTTAGTAGTCGGAAAGATCTACGTTTCATGCATTCAGTTGTTGTAAACTCTTAGATATATTAAGCCGTCATTATTCTCCATGTACTTAATTGTATTGTATTTGTAATTAATTGTATTAATTCCTTACACCTAAGTTCAGCATTATAGCTTTGCATTTCCCTCTGCTTATATGTTCTTCAGAGAGTGTGGTAGCCTGATCTGCTGCGTTTGCATGCATTGGGAACTCAGTGGTCTCGATGTATATTAAACATGCAGTATTTCCTCTTCATATAGACGTAACCGCTGTTTCTTAACAAAAGTGAAAAATGTTAATTCTCCTAAAGCAGTTATTCTTAAATGGATAATGTTTCGTGTCATATTAGTCAGTTCTGTTTCCCCAGTCATTTTCCATTTTATTAACACCGGTAAGATATTATGCGCATACACAACAGTTTGTCATTCACCTTTTATTCAATTTTTCATCCCTACCAATAATGTGTCGTCAGTAGTTTTTTAACGGTAATCATCACTGTGTTTGTAACAACACTTCCCATTTTGTCACAGCTTTCCATCTCACTGGTCACGTCTCGGGTGCAATTACGTAAAGCTAAATTTTTGCCGTCACTTTTGTTGAACCAGTGGTACGTTAAGAGGAAGTGTCTTACAAAACCAGCATACTTGTGTAGTTGCAATGTGTGAACTTTGATCTGCATATAATTTACATAAGCCATTCCCAGTTGAAGTTATTGAACCATATCCAGGTAGTGGAGTGTTTGTTGTGGAGGCAGATGAAGCCAACATATATCCTGTTTCAAAGCGAATCCTGATTAGCGGAAATTTCGTTTACTAACTATTATTACGTCTGTTTGTATTCGTCCTCTACTTTCCTTTGTGGGCTAGAATACTTTATTTATGGTTCATTGTAGCATTAAAACGTGCATCACGCAGTTTAGTCGCATTACTTACAAGTTCATGTTGAATTTTTAGGTATTTAGTTATTCTTGTTAATAACTAATAACCTTTGAAGTGAACCCAAAGTGATTTTGTTCATGATGGTAGGTTTGTGCGAAAGCTAATTAAGATGACTTTTTGCTGTTTCGTTTTTAAATATACATATGTATAAATGTAACTAGCAGAAATAGTTCCAAAACCAGGTTACACGTGCATCGGGACTTCTTAGATCTATTTCACTAACAATATTTTTTTCGTTTGTAGATGCTCTTCAGGCAGGCGCGTCACAGTTTGAGGCAAGTGCAGGGAAGTTAAAGAACAAATATTGGTGGAAAAATATGAAGGTACGGTACCTCTTTAAATTATCATAACTGATTTCAGTATCTTATTCGTGTGTAGATTTTAATAACTGCTATTTACATTGGGAAATAACTTTGTTCGTATATTTTCTACAAGATTAAAATATTGTCTTTATAGTGATTGTTGTCATGACATGTCGTTTTGTTGTCCTGTATAAACATTTACAGTACACATGAGGCTTTCCCTCGTGCTTTCAAAAGGTGTGCTAATAGATAATTCCTGAGGAGGACCTAACATTCGATAAAACCGCCGATATCTATCTTACCAACATGTGGAAATCATACTTCACAGTGTTAGCTGATTAATATTAGTGTAGATTACGGTTAGTTCAGTGAGAGCTGATTGGGATGTTGCAAACGGTCGATCTTAGTTTAGCAAAGCAATGAGTTTGATATCACTTAGTGCAGCTACAGTATAGCTTCTGTTATAAATGCTATAAAGTTACACGATTCCATATTTTTCCGATCTCCATGGGAGCTACCAGGCTAGCATATGTTGTGTGTAAATCATTGAAGTTGATGTCAAACGCGTACTCAGTAGTGGCTACATTTGAGACAAGTGGATCGCACGACTTCGTAGCTGAAATGTTTCTTTTTATAGCAATCAGCAGTGATATGCTTGTGTTACTTAGTGTTCTATTGCACTTGGCAGTCTGTCAGTGACTGATCGTGAAGCATAAAGTATTGGTTGAATCGTGTGATGGCGATTACTAAGCGGCTGTTTTATCTTGGATACGAGCCTTTTCGCCAAAAAAGCTGTCTAGTTTGGTGCGAAAGGCTAAACGCTCAGACATAGTCGTTCTAGCTGGTGACTTTAACGCTCAAGTAGGGAAATTGTGTCAATCTGAGAAGGATGTCGGTGGCACCTATGGAGTTCCGTGCCAGCGAACCGACAACGGTGACCGTCTCCTACAGTTCTGCTCTGATAATCATTTGTTTCTTGTAAGCACTAACTTCAAACACAAGGAGAGACACTGTTTGACTTGGAGACCCCCTTCATCAAACCAACGCTGGACACAAATAGACCACATAGCAATAAGCTATCGTTGGCGTGGGTCGGTAGGAGATTGTCGCTCCTTCTGGAACACGTGCGTAGATACCGACCATGCACTGGTCCGCGCTCGGGTGTGCTTACGACTGAACGGACGTAGGAAACAGCTGGCGGTAAAACCATCACGTCCCCAGCTCGATCAGGAAACTAAATCCGTATTTCAGGAAGAACTAGCTAAACACATATCTGTGTTCGACAGCTGTGCTCACCCTGAAGAAGCTTGGAAAAATATCCAGGCAGCCATAGATACAGCTGTAAAAGCTGTGAATAAGGTAAACCCAAAGGTGAGTAAAAACCACTGGATCTCCACCGCCTCATCCGAACTGATAGATGCTAGAAGACTTATTCCGGCGAGCTCCGAATTCAATGAGGAGCGAAAGCTGCACAAGAGGAAACTTACGAAAAGTCTCCGCAAGGACCGTGAACAGTGGTGGGCGACAAAAGCCAAAGAGATGGAGAAAGCTTCGAGGATAGGCAACACCAGGCAACTCTTTAGACTCATCAGGGAAACGGGTGGGAGAAGACAAATCATTAGTGAGACAATCTCGGAAAAAAATGGCACTATAATTAGCTCCCAGGATAGACGACTGGATCGTTGGAAAGAGCATTATGAGGAGCAGTTTAATTTGCCCACAGCCACGCTCAACCTTCCGAGCATCCAACACCTCCCTGAATGGGATATAGACACAGGTCCTCCATCCCTAACTGAGGTTACTAAAGCTGTCACCAATCTGAAACTAGGCAAAGCAGCGGGACCTGATGGAATGACTCCAGAGGTATTTAAGTACGGTGGAGACAGCTTACTGTCTGGATTAACTGAGGTACTAGGCAGCGTCTGGGAATCAGAAGAAGTCCCATCGGGTTGGTGTAAGTCACTGATTATCCCCATATACAAGAAGGGAGACAAGTCTTCCTGTGATAATCACAGAGGGATTAGCTTGACTAATATAGTATCTAAAGTCTTAGGCTCAATAATCATGCGTAGACTGAGTGGTGCTCGGGAGGCACAAACACGAGAGAGCCAGGCAGGCTTTAGACCAGGAAGAGGGTGTATTGATCATATCTTCACCCTCCGACAGATTCTAGAACATAGGCATTCCTACCGGCGTCCAACAGTCATTATATTTCTTGACCTAAAGGCAGCATTCGACTCTGTCGATCGAGAAGTTCTCTGGAGATGCTTGGCTGTAAAGGGAATTCCGAGAAAATATATTGCACTGATTAAGGCACTCTACTCGTACTCATACAGCCAGGTGAGGGCTTACGGCGAGCTGTCATCTGAACTGATGACGACCAGTGGTGTCCGTCAAGGATGCCCATTATCTCCTTTTCTATTCAACTTCATCATAGATGTGTTAATGGACTTAACCCTAGGTGACTTCAGCGACTCAGGGATTGACTTGCTACCGGGGAATAATCTCGTTGACTTGGAATATGCAGACGATATAGTCCTTCTAGGCGAAGACGCTGACGAAATGCAGAGTCTTCTAAACACCTTGAGCCGCAATCTACGAATGTTTGGCATGCGATTCGCTCCCGCCAAATGCAAGATGATGTTACAGGACTGGACTACATCGACGCCTAGTTTAAAAATAGGAAGTGAAGTGGTAGAGCACGTTGACCGCTTCACTTATTTGGGAAGTACCATCAGCCAGTGCCAACGGGTTGATCTCTGACGAAATCTCAGCACGAATACAGAGGGCTCGTTTCGCATTTGTTAGTTTACGCCGACTCTGGCGTAGACGAGATGTTCGACTATCGACCAAAGGGCGGGTGTACTGCTCATCAGTCCGCTCCGTCCTCCTTTATGGTTGTGAGACCTGGCCACTGAGAGTGGAAGACATGAAAAGACTAGCTGTCTTTGATCATAGGTGCCTGCGTTCTATTTCCCGTGTAAAGTGGCATAATAAGGTGAGCAACATGGAGGTTAGGCGTAGAGTTCTAGGTAAACAGGGGAAATCAATCGACGAAGTCGTGAAGCTACAAAGACTGAGATGGTTAGGACATGTGTTACGTATGCCAAGCCATCGCCTCCCTCGACGAGCTATGTTAGCGGATATAGGGTCAGGCTGGAAAAAAGCTAGCGGCGGTCAAACAAAAACTTGGCACCAGTCAATGAAATCCACAACAGTTGGTCTAAGCCACGTAGGAAGGTGTAGACTTCCAGGCTGGGGTCCTCGGGACGGTAAAAATCTATGGTTGGAAACAATTGGTGACATGGCTCAAAATCGTTCTCTGTGGCGCAGATGCATCCACTCCTTGTGACTTATGATCTCCAATGAAACTGTTTTGTTCTTCGTTACTACTCCTTTGTCTCACACCTCTGTTTACTGTCTCTATTATGCATTTCTTCTACTTTCTTCTCTTGCTTTGTGTGCTGCAAGAAGGGAGTGTAGCGATTTGTACTGCTGTACATCGGTGCAAAGTTCTATGTCGAAAACAGACAGACAGACTTTTCGCCTGCGGCAATGATCTAAACTGTTCCTAGTCTGTTTGTTATCACCAGTAGACTTCACAAGCCGAACTATTTTGCAGTAATAAAGGCTTCTCTGTCTGTTATTTGTCTTCAATTTGTTTGGGTGTAACTACAAGACTATTCTCAGTTGCAGTCATTAAATTTACACAGTCTTTCGTTGATTAATGATTTTAACCAACAATTTTGAACATCATTATTCGTCATTTTGGATACTTTTCACTTCTAGTTTAGGACTTTTGTATTTTAAGAGTTTAAATCTGTGTTGACGCATATTACTTTTCTTTCTCATTTGTAGATGAATATCATCATTGGCGGTGTTGCTTTGGTACTCATTATTGCACTAGGATGTAGGTTTCTTGTGAATAGATTCATACAAAGTTTGTGTAATCCACTTTGTGTTGTCTATCACTGCATGTATTTTGTTTTGTATATTCATATACTAAATTGTTTATTGGATTTTGGTGTTATGTCCTATATATGCTGTATCGTTTGGTGAACAATTTGAACACATTTATGTTGTCATTGATTTTATTTCAAGTAGAATTTTAGAAGACCTCTATCCAGGTTGTTGTAGTAGGTTGGCTAAAATATAATGATTGTATATGAATTATTATTATGTTAAACGCATGACAAGGTACACATAAGTAATGAATGAAGCTCGAAGACTTCTTTTCCACTGTCATCTTCAAACTCTGCCTTTTTTGTCGAAGCATACTTTAATATTTTTATGTATAATTTCTAAACAATTGAATTTTCCTATGTATAATATGTGTATGAATCTTTCCTATATTTGTTGTCATATAGAATGTTGTGGCCCTTAATATTGTCGTTGCTGTTGTATCCTCGTCGTAAAATGTATTTTTGGTGAGTTCTTAAGAAAACCGTCAGGTGGATTGCATTGTTTTTTATGATATAAAGCGAAATATTCTACAGCTGATCAACTCAGCCTGCATAAGAGAATTATTAATCACATCATTTTTAAAAAAGGCTATCAAATTCAAACATGTGATGTACTTTTACACTACCTAATGAGACCTAAAATGAAACTAACCACCAAATTATGAATTTGGATAATATCGGGAATATTGAAAATGTTTTCTTTTTAAACTTAAAATCTGTGGATTTTTATATACAAATTATGGGACTACAGTATAAATGATATAGGTCATGTTTACTTAGAAATTGAGACGCTTGAGACTATATTCCATCGTAGTCCTCTAAGTTCTATGCATTGGCTGTCCAGGAACTGTTTTTAAACATCAAGTGTAGTCCATAGATATATGAATAAGTTCCTTGCCTTACAGAATTTAACCATCCAAATTTACCTACCATAACTTTATTTTACAAATGTGTTGTCCTACCCTGTTTTATTCGTCAATAACTCAAACTTAACCTTTTATCGTAAAGCGAAGTGTACTTTTGGTTACATTTTAAACCTGAGTATATGTCCTTTTTAACAAAGTGAACAATTTACAATTTGTAGAAGTGACTAGTTTTATTTGGAGCAATACATGAACACCAATGAAGTACCTGTGACCATTCATGGTTTCTTACTGTGTAAATCTGTAGAAGTGTTTTTATTAACTACAAAGTTGTAACATCATTAACTTGACATTGGTTCACATTGTATCTCATATGGCTAGTATTACTTTGTTACATTTTAGGACATCAGTTTTGACTATATGAATCCTCTGGACATCTACCGTACTAGTTAGGGATCTTGGCAAGGCAGGCTGTCCTGTTCCCTATTCATTTAACACATCAGTATAATTTAGATAGTTCGTAGTAATTTAAAATTATCCTGTTGATAACTAGTCTTCATCACTGACTTTTCTTCTTTACAGGGTACATATTTGGTGGAAAGTAAGTTTTGTTTGATCATTTCATACCTAATATTGTATTTGATGCTGATATATTACCATCAACTGTTCAAACATGCGCGACTGTAATTCTCCTTTACCAGAATAATGGGGAGTAAAACGTAACTAAAGTATCATGGTGAACACTAACGAGTTTTGTTAGTAACAGAACTGGTGACCCCTAAACTAATTCTCTATGCCCACGTTATTTCAATATATATGTATAGAACTTGGGCATTATGGTAGTAAGTAATTCCATATTAGTTTGTTTATTGGATGTATCACACAGTGAAACAGTATTATTTACTGGATGAAGTTTCGAACACAATTTATTGTTCATAATCATATCAATTATAATCACACGACTTCGAAACTTGAGTTTTATAGTTTTCTTTATCTTCTCCTATTTGTCGTCGTCGGGGCAGTAGAATTTACCAGATATCAGAGACAGGTGATGAATCATTCCTACTACACGTATTCTCAGTTGATTTGATCAACAAAACTTCTGTTATCAATCTCTCCCTACACCCTGTGATATTAGATTTTAAAACTGTCATCCTATCCCATCCTATTGTATGGTTGTGTGTAACTGCATGTAGTGAGTGCTATAGCTGAACTATTCTCTAGATTTCTTATCTTATTTGGGTCAACCAATCTAGATTTTGCTAGGTTTTTATGCTCGGCTAGTCTGATTGCCCCTGTTCTACCACTTTGACTATGTATTTGATCTGACAATCATTGCAGGCAGGGTATTAGATAAACTAAATTGTTTTGTTTTAAAGGCTCCACAGGATCCTTGTTTCTAATTGAGTTTGTGGGTTTGAATGCCAGCCACTCATATTCCTGTCTTGTTAGGAATTCTGCATAAGGTTTCCAAGATCCCTTCCTTGTATGGAACTACTACTGATGATTTAGACTCCTTATTATTGGTGTTGTCTTGCGCATGTTTGACATGCATGCCGTCACTAATATTCTTCTTATTATTACTATTAACAATGGTGATAATAATTGTATTAATAATTATTAATAATAATGGTAACATTAATGACAACATGCATGTCGAGCATCCACATGATTGTCATGTCAAATACACAGTCAAAGTGGTAGAACAGGGGCAATCAGACTAGCCGAGCATAAAAACCTAGCAAAATCTAGATTGGTTGACCCAAATAAGATAAGAAATCTAGAGAATAGTTCAGCTATGGCACCACATACAATCACACACAACCATGCTTAAATTTACGCTTTAGTCTCTCGCCTTTACAATACAGAAGGTAAAATTCCGGAAGATTTCTTTGTGGACTTGAACTGGTATTTCGTTTCAGAAAACATGTCTCTATGCTAAGTTTTTCAACAATTAGAGTGATTAAACTGAAGTAATTTATCCGTAACATTTTTCTTTGTCACGCTAAGAATAGAATGATAGCTCGAAAAGACCGTAATAAAGATTGAAGGTATGCAAAGACACGTATTCTAATGTAGTGAAGAGTTATTTAGCAGAAAGCCCTGCCTTTTGTTGCTTGTTGGGACGCATCAACTAGATGTATCCTCTTTCCTTATTATCAAATGCATCAGTTGCCCTGTTCACCTTTTTAGAGGGTTTCCTCGTTTACATTCACTAACTGGTCAAGTGTTTGAGCTCACACAGATGTGAGGCGTCATCGTTTTACTCAGATGTAGGCATAAAAGTTGCGGTAGAACCTGTTAACGTCGTGGTGAAGGAAGGTAACTAGGTAGCGGTAGAAACTTAATGGGTTTACTAAATTTCTGCAAATACAATATGTTGCAACAAACTGATCCTGATACTCTCTAGTAGGTAACTTGTTATTGTTGTGGAACTGTCACGACATCACAGGCTCGTTACGATATCCAAACTATGTCCATTTCTAATGTAAGACCAGCATTCACTATGATAAAGATTTTCTGTATTTCCCAATGAATGAAAAATAAAACGACATTTTTTTTCATTCATTGGGAAATACAAAAAATCTTTATTATCATAAATATCGTATACCCAATGCCCGAAATTTCTCAAATTGTTATAGGTGAACTTGGTTTGGACATATAGAATATTAGATGAGTTGATTTGATACGATATGATAATGAGAAATAAATTGGTTACAGGAATTCATCATGAGCTGACATTAGTTAGAGAACCATCGGAAAACCAGGGAGTACTGGACAGCTGCTTCGTCCTAGTTTGAGACTCTTCGTAAGTAGGCACCCACACCACGGGGATCGAAACCAGGACCTTCTGGTTACAAGGCGAGCTCGTAGACCATTAAGGCACTGGGACCCGATTCAATGGCCCATGAATTCTAACTTCTGCCAATTCACGATATAGCGCAACCGCTAGCTAATGTCTTCGGCGAGTATTTGTCCTCACACACGACCTGCTGCACCCTACTGGTCACGACTTCCCACTGAAACCCCAGGGAGCTACCTACCTGAATAGTCCTATTTTCGATGTTTCTCTTGCCAACTTGTTGCTTTTCACTTGCATATCTTCCAATTTGTGGAAATCAAAAATATATGATCGATAAAATCCAGATCCTCCAAATATTTTGTGTGGGTTCATTTTATGCCTGTCTCTTCGTTGCCCGCTGTCCGTCACATCATCCAGTCTACTGCAATTAGGAAAATCATTGGCGATAGTAAGCAGTCAGCTTGTCTTACTCCCATCTTCACTTCGAAGGATTCCGTGAGTTTTCCGTTGTGGATTATTTGACATTATCGTACAACTGTTAGATGAGGTGCATAATTGTTGGCGGCACCCCGTAGTAGCGAGACTCAGGGATTGACTCGTAACCAGGGAATAATCTCGTTGACTTAGAATATGCAGATGATATAGTCCTTCTAGGCGAGGACGCTGACAAAATGCAGAGTCTTCTGTACACCTTGAGCTGTAATCTACGAATGTTTGGCATGCGATTCGCTCCCGCCAAATGTAAGATGATGTTACAGGACTGGACTACATCGACGCCTAGTTTAAAAATAGGAAGTGAAGTGGTAGAGCTGGTTGACCGCTTCACTTATTTGGGAAGTACCATCAGCCAGTGCCAACGGTTTGATCTCTGACGAAATCTCCGCACGGATACAGAGGGCTAGCTTCGCATTTGCCAGTTTACGCCGACTGGCGTAGACGAGATGTTCGACTATCGACCAAAGGGCGGGTGTACTGCTCATCAGTCCGCTCCGTCCTCCTTTGTGGTTGTGAGACCTGGCCACTGAGAGTGGAAGACATGAAAAGACTAGCTGTCTTTGATCATAGGTGCCTGCGTTCTATCTCCCGTGTAAAGTGGCATAATAAGGTGAGCAATATTAAGGTTAGGCGTCGAGTGCTAGGTAAACAGGGGAAATCAATCGACGAAGTTGTAAAGTTACAAAGACTGAGATGGTTAGGACATGTGTTACGTATGCCAAGCCATCGCCTTCCTCGACGAGCTATGTTAGCGGATACAGGTCAGGCTGGAAAAAAGCTAGCGGCGGTCAAACAAAAACTTGGCACCAGTCAATGAAATCCACAACAGTTGGTCTAAGCCATGTAGGAAGGTGTAGACTTCCAGGCTGGGGTCCTCGGGACGGTAACAATCTATGGTTGGAAACAATTGGTGACATGGCTCAAAATCGTTCTCTGTGGCGCAGATGCATCCACTCCTTGTGACTTATGATCTCCAATGAAACTGTTTTGTTCTTCGTTACTACTATTCCTTTGTCTCACACCTCTGTTTACTGTCTCTATTATGCATTTCTTCTACTTTCTTCTCTTGCTTTGTGTGCTGCAAGAAGGGAGTGTAGCGATTTGTACTGCTGTACATCGGTGCAAAGTTCTATGTCGAAAACAGACAGACAGTAGCGAAATAGTTGCCAAATCACCTCTCAATCGACGCTGTCAAAGGCCTTTTCAAAGTCGATGCGGTTGAGGTAGAGGACTGACTGTCAATTCAATAATGATGAATAGTGTTGAGTTTTGGTCGGAGCATGACTTGTTTCTCTTGAATCCAGTCTGTCCTTGTCGAAGCTTTTCATCCAGGGTGTGTTGAATTCTCTCCAGGATGATGCGGCTTATTGTTTCGCTTGGGATAGACAGGAGCATAATGCCGCGCCAATTCTTGCTTTAAATTAAGTATCCTTTCTTTGGCAGTTTGATTTGGGTAGCCTTTCCTGTCCTCTTTCCATACCTTCTCTAGTAGTGGTGTTACCAAGTCCGCTGATGTCTCTGGGTCCATTTTCAATGCTTTTGCTGGGGTTCCGTCTGGTCCTGCTGGTTTTTCAGTGTTTAGCATCTTGATTGCCTTCAAAATTTCTGTTCTCCTCTGGGAGTTGGTATCCACAGGTAGTTTCGCTGCCGCTGTTGTTATTATTGGGAGCGTTGTAGATGGCGGTCGATTAAGAAGTCTTTTGAAGTGTTTATCCCAGTGTTTCCTTTGCTCCACCTCTTTGGTGATTGACTTTCCATTGTCACCTTTCACTGGCTTAATTCGTGTTGGCCTCTTTCCCTATGGGAACCTAGTTGTTTGGTAGTGTTACGAGGTCTCCTCTGCCTACAACTTGTACTGGTTCGCTTTTCACAGTTTCGTAATTTTGTCTTCCCTGGCACTTTTCTTTACTCCTTTGTTCAGTGTATTGTAGGTGGCATTCAACTCCTGTTTTTGTTGCTCGTCGATAATAATCTTTTGCTTCATCATCCTCCTCTCTTCTATTAGTCTACAAGTGTCCGTAGTGAGCCACTGTTTCTCCTGTCTCTTCTTTCCGCCTAGAATTTCCATGCATGTTTGGCTTCACACCGCCTTCAGGTTGTTCTAGTGCTTCTCAACGCTGACCTCTTCGCTAGTGTTGATTTGTGTCTCGGCTTTTCCCTCATGTTTGCAGTGAAGACGTCCTTTGTGTCCTGGTCCTTCAGTTTTTGAGTATTGAACTTGGCTTGTGGTCTGTCTGCAGCGCCTGTTTCTTTGAAAGCTTTTAATTTGATTTAGAGTGTCCCTTGTACGAGATAGTGGTCTGAGCCAACGTCTGCTCCTCTTCTTTTTACTTTTGTGTCCAGTAGGCTGCGTCTCCACTTCCTTGAGCAGCATTGAGATGAAGTCAATTTGGTTTCTGGTTTGCCCATCTGGTAACACCCATGTAGCTTTGTGGATATCTTTTTGTTTGTACACGTTGCCACCAATCACTAGTTCGTTGAAGGCACAGAAGTCGGCGAAGAGTTCTCCATTTTCATTCATCTCTCCGAGAGCTTATCTACCCATGATGAGTTCTTTTCCTGCGTTGTCTGGTCCCAGTTTGCGTTCGTGTTGCCCATTAGAATTTTAATGTTACCGACTGGAGTATTGTCCATTGTTGCCTGTGTCTGTAGAACTCTTCTTTCTTTTCGAGGTCTGCGTTGTTTTTTGGTGTATAGCATTGTATAATTGACACTTTCCTTCCTTTGGAGTTGAATCTGGCTGTCATTATTCTGGACGAGATCGCCTCCCATTGCATCAGGGCCTTTGTTGCCGTTGGTGACATCATGATAGCCACGCCCTCGGTGTGCGTGTGGTTATCTTCTGGGTAACCGGAGTAGATCACTGACTCTCCCGTTGAAAATTTGTAGGGTCCACTCCCACTCCATCTGCTTTCACATATTACCAGTACTTGAATACCATATCTCTTCATCTCATTCGCAATCTTTACCATTCTCATACATACCGCGGACGTTCCATGTCCCCACGCACACTTTTTCTTTCGTCGCCAAGGGGTTCATTATACTGAATTTCCTGTAGCAGTTTTCTTTACAGGGTGAGGTTGCTAGCCTCACACCCTACCTATATGGAATGGTCGCCCTAAAATGTCACATCGAATATGGTAACTTCAAACGTTTCTGTATCTCACTAAACATTTATTGGTACTGTCCATCTCATAAAAACTGATATCCTTCCTCAACCAATGTGTTAAACAGAAAACTGAATGAAAGACCATGAACAGGACTCCTGCAACACACGACGTCAACCCAATACAACTACAAATGTCGTTAGTAAGAAGATCAATCCTATGTAACCATAAGACGATTTCTTTCGTAACATTACTCCAGAAGTACCACGTTTATGTTGAAGATGAGGAAAGTTAGGTAAAGCTAAAGAAGCTTTTTGTATCTGTGCTAAGATTTCGTTAGGATTCAGACTGATGTGGTCACCAAAATAAGTGGTGGTCAATAAGCTTGACCATTTCACTTCATATTAAACTAGGATTCGGTGCAGACTGGTGCTGTGGAATCATCTTACATTTGAAAGGAGCGAATCATTTGCCAGACATACTAAGATTTCTGATCAAGTTGTTCCGATGACTGTGTGTTACCTCTACTCTTAATCGATAAGATTCATGGTAATGAACCAGTCCTTAAGTCGCTAAAGTCAATCAGGGCTACTTCCATTGGTACCTATATAATGAAACTAAAAAATGGTGTCACGACACGTTCCTGAAGGAGATCTGGTTGTCATTACGTTAGATGACAACTCTCCATACGGCATTGTACAATTACGTCAGTCCCAGTAGGGTGCCTTCCTTGGTGCGATATACTTTCCCGACATTTCATATACGACCAGACGTAACCACTACTTGTTGGTCGACGTAATTAAATTCGACCTTCAGACCAAGAAATGTGGCAAGTGATGGACTGCAGGTATTTTCTGGAACCTGTCAAAGGATATGATTGATACACGCGTGTTTCTCCTGAGCACCGCCTAGTGTAAGTAGGACTGTGAAATCTAGAATTTTAGGTTCTGTCGGCCGGACCAATACCCCCACGATTGTCTCTGGAACATGTCTTCTTTCGTAGAAACTGCCATTGCCTACACCAGTTTAGTGGGAATATTTCAGAATCCCACCTAATATCTTAGTTAGCCTAGTCAATAATTCATCGGCATCATCACCCTTATACGCCGGTGTCAAAGCACCAGGTGCTGCTGTTGTGCTTATTTCTAAGTTAGAGGGCTTCCGTTGAAGTCGCATGACCGATGTCTACATATTATTCAGGTGGGTGTTGAATAACTTTTGCGTGGCTTCCAGACCAGGTGAATCGCCTTCTAAAGTATTCCATTCATACCGTCCTTGGAAATCGTATTAGATTTCTTTGCAACCCGTTTGCCCAATGATTTTAAATAACCGTCTAGGTATAAGTTCACGAGTGCTGAAAAACGACGTAACTTATCAGTACGTCATTCAAAAGACTGTCTATGCGCAATTATTTTATCACTGAATATTAGATACTATGGACATAATAAAGTACGACAGTCTTTCCTCTTAACATATCACTTGGTGTGCTTAGCTGGATTTAGTAATAAACTGGACATGCATATGCAAATACTGGGATTGTGTGTCCATAAACTTGAAAACTGTCCACTATCCGTGGTAGCTACGTACGCAAGGCACCTAGTGTTAACCCTTTTACAACGGGTTAATCAATGTATTTATACCTGTACGGCTCACTTGGAAAAGAAAGGAGAATCCCTAAATTCTCTACACCCATCAGCTAATGCTAATATTTCCTTTTGGATAACACTTATGCACCTGTTTGTCGAACACCTTGCTGACTTTTAATGCGTACATGGTGTTCTATTATATCTCTGGTAAAGACATGGCAGTCGACAGTGGAGACATAGGGTGCAATATTTCATAATGTCAGCAAGTACCACATCCAACCATTCTTACGAATCTCCGGTCATCAAAAAATTTGGCTAAATATGAGTACAGCATAATCTAGTTCTGCAACAGATCAGCTGTGCTCATAATAGCTTATTGATTAAGTTTAGACTTAGGTGTTGAGTGATACAACTTCTAAGTCACCTAAGAACCATGTGGGGAACTCTCTAAAAAATATGTGTGCCTGTCTGAGGTACCAACAAGCACTAAAAGACTCATAGCTTGCAAGTCTTCAAATCGACCATCAAACTATAGCGATCCCAGTGCATCACATATCATTCATTATCAATAGATTTGGACCAATACCTATCTTCACAGAATCATGAGGCATTTAACAAGCATTTCAAAAGCATATCTGTAATACTGTCGTTATTATTGTCGCTAAACAAATGTAAAAAGCGGGGCGCTTTAATTTGAATTTTTGACTTAAGCGATGTAAAGTTAACATGTTGAGGTTTGAAAAATAGCTTCCGATACAATTTCTTTAACTTGCCTAATACGCCGCAAATTACTATAATTTTGATCCTCTTTGGGCTAATTTTCTCAAATCTCTTTTTATTTCTGCTTTCATAGGAAACAAGAAGCACCTCCTCCACCACCGGCAGCTTTACCTGCTCCAGGAACGCATTCTGTATCGAACCCTCCAGCTTCTAAGCAAGCACCGAAACATGAGGCTTCCCAAAGACTTCGTCGTGATGCTCCTCTTATAGGGGGTAGAACTCCGTGATCAGACAAGGGGAAATTAGCTTTCATAGAATTGAAATGTTACTTCAGTTTATAGGTTTATCCCTAAATTTTATTTTCACGTGGTTACATGCGAAACTTCGACATCTTAAAACCTTTTCTCATCATTTTATTCTATTATGCATCGTGTTGATGAATCTTTTGCTCGTTTGTCTAACTTGTGGCATTTATACAAGTCACCAATTCGGTGTTTCATGTGATTTCCTTCCTTTATATGTTAAACTTCCTTTTGTCTGTAGCATTTCGTTTTGCGTTAATTTTGCCGTGTGAGTTGTAAAGCATTTTCACTGTTGCTGGGCTGTGAAGCCGCATCAAAACTTGCCCTCTAATGTACGTCAATTATGTTTATTTATGTTAACACAAATCACACATTACCATTCCGCTTCCCTCAATTTTGCTCTTTTTTCGTAAATTACATACAATGAATGAATACATCTATATACATAAATACAAATATATTTACGAAATGAAATTTTCTACATGAAAAGGAGATTAAGACATTATATTTCGCAAAACTCTCTGATTCGTTCTTTTGTCATAAATGAGCGGCCTACACCAGTTTTCCGATAATCTGAACGGAATTTTAGGTAATCTTCCTCCAACTTTTTCACTTCCTCTGGATTTAAAAGATATCTGCGTTAAAAAGAAAAAAAATTGTTTGCATGTAAAATATCACTAAGTGGTGATAGTCAGATTTATATTATCTACTCCAAACTAACATGATGTATAAACAGGAATGGACACTTGTGTTTTAAATCCTTTCTTCGAGATATAACAAAACCAATCTTAAGTCGAACTGCAGTAGTTCTACGTCACCGCAACAGCGTACAAAAGTCAAGAAATACTCGAATGAGACAGAACAAAAGAATGAGATTTCCACCATCTTAAAGATATTGAATCGGTAGAGCAACAGGAGTCAGTTTGTATTGTTTTGGGTGGTAAAGAGTGTAGTTGTGACAATAGCCGCACGAAGACCCACTTGTTTATCAGATAGAGGAAGATTAATACACTTTGTTAGAAAAAAGTTCGAATTGGACAGATTATTCAACGGAATAAATGAAATTACAAGAAGTGAAGCATTACACTGGTCTTAAGATACATTTTCTGTCTTCCAAGTGAATATGTTTTCTCAGAACCTGTGTCCAACGGAGTCATTTTGGGATAGACGGCAAAGTGAAGATGATTGTTTTAGAAGCTATTGAAATCCAAATACACATAATCGTGCCGTCTGAGGTCAAATGAATAAGAAGGATGCTTTTCATATTGAATACCTCAGTTGGTAGTCGTAGGTCATCCATCCCTTCTTGCTTGCCTACGAACGCTTCTGGAATTAGAAGAAAACTGGTGGCTTCAAGGTAATTTCCTGTTCTGGACAGTGAACAAATGGAAATTCACGCATAATACCCAGTCGGACACTAACGAAAACAAAAACACGTAATTCAACGGAGAGGTTCTTCTCGGCCTATTCATTTTCGTGCCGTGTGCATGTGTCAGTTCACCTATTATTGTAGAGCTAGATGCATTCGTCATTCAGCGCGTATCCTGCCTAAAGGGGTCTAAGAACGCTATCCCGCATCGTTGCAGAATGACATTAGTCTGGATTCAACATAGTGGCTCCATAAGGAGTGCAATAGTCGAACTCTGGTCGGGCAATCCATCTCCTTCAAAGTAATCTACAATGTGAAAGACGACCTGCCGAAGCCAATACATCCCTTCTGCACTGCTGAAGCTTCAGCTATTAATATAGAGAAACCGGAGCTGTCCATACAAAAGAAAATTGTTAAATCACGTCTACTGTCGTGGTAACAACCTTGTTGGTTCCTATAAATTTGGATTTTGCTTTTCTAACTCCTTACAACTCTTACGTAGTCCCATATTCTCCCTCGTTTCTATGTGCATCCTGCTTACAAATTCATTTATTATTTAAACGCATAAAAACTTGGTATAATATGGCACCAAGAAGGATGCGCCACACAATAATAATAAAACAACATAGATCAAAAGAAAAAGAAAGATATATATAAGTAGAGAACGGATAAAGAACTTCATCTGTAAGGGAAACAGTCATGCTTAACAAGTTCAAACAGTATTCGTTAACTATCATCGGGAAGGGAAGAAAGAAGGAAATTGCGACACGTGTGAGAGCACGCGACAAGTTTCACTGATTGTTTGTTGCTTCATTCAATTCATTATGTGAGGGCTGAGATACTGGCCGGGCGCCCAGACCGAAGCAGCTGGTTTTATTAAGGGACCACCCCCGAGCCTTTGGCTTGGAGTCTAGTCCGCAAGGCAGCGTCAGGAGCTGCATTCCCATGGTTGCCGGTGACCCATATGGGTTCATACGCCATTTGGTCCGATTGGATACTGGAGCCCATGTACCCCATGGTAACCGCTTTTAGTTTAACTGCTATCCAAACAACCTTCCTGAGATGGTAGGACCTACACGGACAGGTCCTACCGTTGGGTCATTACGGTATTCAAGCCCGACCACCACGACAAGGTAGCAGTTATTGGCCGGGACAAATTCATTACATTGTTCATTTTATTACGTAGCCCTAGTACACTTATTTAACTCCTCGTATGCAGTGACTATGATTATGAAAACTCGTCACCTTTGTTAATACTCTTTCATAGAAAAAATAGTATATAACTGTGACTGAACAGACAAGGAAGAAAAGGAATTCGTCGGAAAAAGCCCCTTCGCTGAAATGTGTTTTGTTTTTAAATGAAAACTACCTAGAAGTGGATATGCTTACTCCTCGATGTATGCCAGTTATATTCAAAAGTTGCCCATTAACAGCATATGGCCAATTGGTCACCGCCTTTGGATTGCAGTCTTGCTAGGTGACAAATTTATACGCTTATTTCGAATAGAGCGTCGGTGGCCCAGAGGTAGAATGCTCGCCAGCTACTCACGTGGTCCGGGATTCGGTCTCTAACTGATGCACTTCCAAGTCTCGCTTAGCTGGTAATAAGCCCGCAAAGAGGGGAGGTTGGGTGCAAGACTAGCAACTCTACTCCGTGAAAATAAAACCACTGCTACTGAAGCTTCAAAGCTCTAGCTTGAAGGTCTATGTTACAGTGGGAACGCAAAGGAACATGTTTTTTATTCTGAATAAATAGTCACTTCCGCCAGTCATTTTTTAACGTTCCTGTCCTACTGCTCGTTCATATGTTGTAGAATCTTTGTCATTATATCAATCTCAGAAGTCAGTGATTTTTTTATCTATCTCTATTTTTATCTCAGCTGTAATGTAACCTCTCTATATGTTTTCTTTATCTCCGACCTGTTATATTGCAACCCTTGTTTTCCTTCCTCTTACCTATCTGACATAAAGCACAAGATGAGACGACTGCGTGTAGTACACAGTAATGATGATAGGTCCTTTGTTGATAATCATCTCCTGCATTCACTTGTGTGGAAAAGTATGCAGGATACCTCCGTAGGAGCAATCTTTCGAAATTTAACGTTCGAAACTGTATCTGTTTAACGAATTGTTGCTTTCATCATAATCGTACTTCAACCAATGTCGCGTTTTGTGATGAAAATAATAGCTTCCTGCTAGTACCACAAAAGTTTTTCCTGGGAATTGTGTGCCTAACTTCACTACTTCTGCTTACTTATTGATTCTATCTATTATGCATAATGCTGTCAAAATCAGATGACAGTGATTTCCACTGTTACGAAATGTGGATAAACGTTAGCAGTTCCCGAAACAGTGGAGCTCAGTGAATGATTTGGTTGAACATAAGTCAGAGTAAGTTAGGAGTATTTTGCGTTCGTCTTTATTTGACTTGGACTGATACACTATTGCCTAAGGATTTAGGTTTTTCCATACCTACAGCTGAATAGGAAACGTATGTAAAACCAAAAAATTACACTACATTTCAAAAATCGTACTGCATATCATCATAACACTTGGTACTAGCTGTAAACCAACCGAATCTGGTGTAATGGTCTCAGTGCAACTCAGAAACTCAGTGTATATGTTATGTACTGAACTGAGGACTTATGATGCCATCCAGTTTTCCACACGTAATTATATGGAACAGTGTTTGAATCTCGAACTCTTTGGGCGGAATTCAAGTACGTAGCTCGACTAACCGAAGCTCCATATCACAAGAAAATGATATTATAAATTAGGAAAATCCACTTACTTGTTCTGGCATTGATCGAATAATTTATACATGGGTCTACATCGCCAAGAACCGAACCATTTTTCTCTATTCTCTCTTAGACATTTCCTCCAATCCTTCCATTCCTCAACACATAATTCACCTAGAAGCTTTTCTTGTACAAATTTCGAAAGTATACTACTACGTTCTCCATCCGAAATATATTTGCTGTCGGGATCACCTGAAGACAAGAGTGAAGCATACGACTTCGATTACCATACCCAACTGGACCTCCAGTATATGAATGGTAACCATCCACGTTAGTCATTGTTACTATATAAGTTGAAATACCAGTTTCTTAGGACTAAAATCAAAGAACACAAACCTCAAAGTAAATGTGCTTAGTAATCTGGAGATAAATTTAATTAAAGTATGTCAAACAGGCAAAAATAGTGCATCTATGTCAAACCACAATCTACAGAGACATTAACGTTAAACAAAATAGAAATGTCACCGTACGTGAAAGCAAGTTTAGAAAAGAACATGAAGTATGAATAGATCTAGATCTGTTTTTAGTCATGTCTGACGGACAAAATCCAGGAAGTTATCGACAAAACCTTAGATCAATGGTTTGAAGTTCCGTAGGCTGTTATCATAATGCCGCCACAACCACGCTTCCAAACATTGGTTTGCTCCTCTGCAACGCGAAATCGATATGAAAACAACGCAACTTTGTAGTCTAGAAGAGGTTTATGTACTAGGTTGTGTAATAAAGGTTTATAGCACTATCCAGATTAAGGTGCCTGAAGAGAAATTTGTACCGGAAGAATCGTTGGTCAAGTACCTAAAGCATACTTTTCAAGCAAATCCCATTTCAGAAAACTAACATAAAGTCTTATGCAGAAATGCATCTGTTTATCTTTTAACACCTCAGAGGTTACATTACATAGTACAGAAGTGTAATGCACCACAGTGGAAAAGTTTTTGAGAGATACTTGCTTACTTAAAAAAAGCGTCCCTACAAATAAACTAAGAATTAGTGCTCATCATTCCCATAGCATTGTTTTACAAATGACGGAGTTCAAACTCATGATAAAAATAAGATTTTTTCCTAGTGTTGGTTTTGTAGGGATTTTGTTTGAATCGATGGAGGATTTCATCATCAGTTAGAGAACCACTGGAAAACCTAGGAGTACTGGACGACTGTTTCGTCGGGACCCAGTGGCTCAATGGTTTACAAGCTCGCCTTGTAACCCGGAGGTCCCGGGTTCGAACTCCGGCGGGCGCGTACTGCTGAGGAGTCACAAACTTGGACGGAGCAGCTGTCCAGTACTCCCAGGTTTCCCAGTGGTTCTCTAACTGATGTCAGCTCACGATGAAATCCTCCATCGATTTTTTTTCTTGGAGCATTCGAAAGACTGAATTTCATGAATCTCTTCAGTCAGAAGAACAACATTATTCATGTATGTTAAGCCAAATTGATCCTTTTGATGTAGCAACTAATTAAGCAAAATAGCCTGATCCAATAGTATGTTTGTAATAAAACTACTGCTCGCCAAACACGCAGTTAGTTCAGGTTTTGATCCCTGGCCAACGCACTCCTTTACCTGGCTAAACCAGTAATACAACTCTTAAAGAAGGAAGGTTGGACATGGGGCTAGTGACCCTATCCCAATAAAATAAGTAGTACTGCTGCCGAAACTCCAGTGCTTTAGCTTGAAGCCCTATGTTACACTAGGAACGTAAAGGAATATAATTATAATGAAGAACACAACTGGTTGTTGTCATCGAAAATAACTTTTCATATTGTCTTACACAAATTCCTAATTTGGAGATCAGTTTTGATTAGGATAATATGCTTTCTCGACATTCTCTTCAATTATATGCACCACGACTTTCGATGAGCCTAGATGTCGCTGTGATGTTAAAACTACATAACTTTTCTGGAGGTATTATGTTTGTGCTCTATATTCTGTCAAACGGTGGGAATATAACGAATGCATTCATTCAAGTTGGAAACCTGTTTGATTTTCTCCAGTTTAATGTTTTAATTTTATGCAAGATTGATACAGTTGTTAAAACAGCACGAGTTTTATAAAACCGCAAGTCAAGAAACCTATAAATTCTTTAAGAAGTCCCCAACTAATTTGTAAGACTGACTGCTGTTTCGCTTAGGAAAGTCGCGAATGTATTAAACCCAGCGGCCAAACAGCTATTGGGTAAATTATTTCATGTAAAACTTTCTAGGCGTTCAGAGATGTGTGAAACCAAACATTTCTCAAAGATAACCAATCGCAATACAGGCATGAAATGGACTAACAAAAAAACTTGGGGGATCTGGACTTCGCCAATGATATATGTCTGATTTCCCACAAACTGAGAGATACGCAAGTGAAAAGCAACAAGTTGGCGGAAGAAGAATCAAAGATAGGACTTCAGGTGAACATAGATAAAACAGAGGTGATGAAGATTCCTGGCCAACAGCAACAACAGACAACAATCAGCCAGCATAAATAGGAGGAACCTGAAAGAAACAACCTCTTTACCTACCGACCTGGGAAGCATCGTTTCAACTACAGGCGGAACTGACGAGGATATCAGAGCAAGAATCGGAAAAGCAAGGCAATCTTTCATTACTCTTAAGTCTGCATGGAGGTCAACAGCACGCCTCAGCATAAAAAAAAGATCCGGACTTTCAACTCCAATGTGAAGTCAGTGCTACTTGCTACACGGATCAGAGACTTGGCGCGTCATAAAGAGCATCTCAAACAAACTTCAGACCTTCATTAACAGTTGTCTTCGCTCAATATTCAAGATAAGATGGCCGGCCAGAAAAGATCAGCAACAAAGATCTCTGGGAGCGAACCAACCAGGAACCGACCGCAAAACAAACAGGCAGAAGAAATGGAGATGGATTGGCCATACACTGAGGAAACCATCAAGTGACATCATTAGAGAAGCCATCACTCGAGTGGAACCGAAAGGGAAGCGGCAAGTTGGTCACCCAAGTGTGACTTCGAGGAGGTTACGTGAAGAGATGAAAGCGTATGGGCAGACTTGGAGCCAGGTGAAAACTCTAGCAGAGGACCGAACGCAATGGAGACGCGCGGCTGAAGCCCTATGTTCCTCTAGGAATTAAAGGAAATAATAATAATTCCGCTAGTTAAGGCAGAAACAAAAAAACCGATGGTTAATTAACCACAAAATGCTGAATGAAGACTCGAAATGAACCAAATAGTTACTCAAAACTTCATAAACCCCATGTAAATCAACGAATCACTCTCCTTAGTCATATTAAGAAAGTCCAAGCTATAGGAGATATTTATTCCTATAAATCGGGAAAAATTTAAGACTTAATACTAGGAAGTTAAGAATCCTCTATAATTTTAACTGTAATACCCAAGAGTGTTATATGAAACACAGTCATGTGAAACGGCTTTTCCCCTATATTAGAAAAAATATCGGAATAATATCATTACAGCTACAGCCCTTATTCGGTCCAGAATCTTTGATACTGACTTTTGCTATGTGGATCCAATTAGTTTAATGGTCAAGAGACTAGGAAGAATCATTAGCAATGACTTTCCTGAGCATTTTGAAGCGAAGTAGTTCTATCTAAGGCATATAATTACATGGTCATTTCCTCCACTTGACTAAAATACCAATGACAGGAGGAAGCAACAGACACTAACGTGTATTGATCCTACAAAATCATTCACATGGTTTCTTTATTTTTATTTTTGATTACAGCTTGATTCCACACCGAGTTTTTTGGTATAGGCATGGAATTTTCACCATATGATATCGGTAGCCCAAATTTAGCAGGCCGACCACAGATATTAGGTGTGCGTCGGTGGGGGATCGAACCACGGACCATGTGCATGGTCCGCGAGAGTCCTAACCACTGTGCCACCGACGCACAATTCTCAATTCGACTTATCAGCAAAAGGAAAAATTTAAGTAATTTTCACAAGCAGGCCCGTATCATCCCTGCAGTGATGATATTGAATTACTACTTACCAAAAAAAATGAAAATTAGACTAGCTATTTTCTGGATAACAATAGCTATTGTTAAACTTTGCCTACGAAGGTTAATGTATAGGTGTAAGTCATAGACATAAATTATCAGATGTGGACCTGATACCAATAAGAAATCGGATCTTATTCTTTTTATTGGTGGCCCTAACCTTGAAGACTTCTCCCGCCTTAACTTTTTTGCTGGCTCATATAAACCAAACAGATTTCACTAGACTCGCTGCTTGGTAGTAGAAGAGCAGTTGTTACATTTCGGTTAAATTTTTAGTGTTTTTCCAAACCCTTTGTGAAGGAATCAGTTGAGGTTGCAGTCACCAATTCTTCTAAGAGTGAGATCCAGTACTTGACGGCAACATGATTTCTTCTTGTCTTTTGGACTCTCTTGATATGTCTTCTAAGGTGGTCCGACCTGGTGGGAAGGAAAGAGAGAATAGGTTAGGTCCGTATTCATTACTTAAAATTTTAAATATTGTGATTAAATCTCCTCTGTGCCTACAGTGGCAAAAATGTTTATTGTCATATAAACATATAAATTTGCATGAGAAGACATGCCATTTTTACAGGCACGATCAAGTATGATATTATATCAAATCGTAGGTTTTCTACAAGTTAATAAGGTTTCAAAAGTTAAATATTTGACATATATATAAATACACTCACTGTCTAAGATGTGATAATAGTTTAATTGACATTTGCAGATGGAATTTCACAAGGCCTTAATTGCTCAGTGCATGAAATGGCATCAGAGTATATTGACATCCTTGTTCATCGTGTCTCGAAGAATAGTATAATTAGTCCTTCTCAAATGTCAGAGTACTTAAAATTAGTACCAGATTTCTGTCGATTAGTAGCTAGCAGCTGTGTCATACAACTACTACACCTGTTACATAGGTTATATCAATCTTAATAATTATTTTGCTTCACATCACTAAGATATTCTGAGATCCTTAATGACTTAATTGTGGCCATGAAAGATGTAGAAGATGCACTTATGGCTCATACATTTAAAGCAGTTATTATTAAACAAGTTATCTGTAAGCAACTTGTGATGTTCTGAATACTGCAAACTGTTTATAAGAAACTGCATCAAAGGAAAAAATGCTGAACAGCAGATCTTTCAATTTACCTCTCACTGAAATATCACTTATCTACTTCACGCTGGTCTTCTCATTTGTGCACTATTACACTACATTTTATGTTAACTGGATATGCCTTTATTAAAGCTGAGACTTACTCTTTGTGCCTATTAGTTGCTTGCTTACAGTCTAGTTGCTTTTATT